CCGGGAATCCCCAAGACACCCCCCCCCGCTGCACGAGGGGAACTTCAAACGGAGCCCGGACAACATTACAAACCGTCCCGTTGTCCTCGATATTACCTAACAGCTTTTGCTGATAAGTTTCTAGTGGTCTCAAAAGAGAGCATCATGACTCCTCAGGGGGGTGTGGGCGGGACCCGGGGAAGCTGCCGGGAGGCTGCCGCCGAACCCGAAATCGCTTAGGACATCCTCGCAAATTCGCTTTTGGTGCTCCCAGAACTCCATTCCCGGGCCACATTTTGGATGCCCGGAGCCAACTGTAGGCCACTTCGTGCTCTTCGACTTCCCAGAACTCCACTCCCGGGCCCCATTTTGGATGCCCGGAGCCAACTGTAGGCCACTTCGTGCTCTTCGATTTCCCAGAACTCCATTCCCGGGCCACATTTTGGATGCCCGGAGCCAACTGTAGGCCACTTCGTGCTCTTCAAGTTCCCAGAACTCCATTCCTGGGCATGATTTTGAATGCCCGGAGCCAACTGTAGGCCACTTCGTGTTTTTCTAGTTCCCAGAACTCCATTCCTGGGCCACATTTTGAATGCTGAGGCAGGCTGATGCTGCGGCCGAGGCAGGCTGAGGCTGAGGCAGGCTGAGGCTGAGGCCGAGGCTGAAGGCAGACTGAGGCTGAGGCTGAAGCAGGCTGAGGCTGAGGCTGAGGCAGGCTGAGGCTGAGGCTGAGGCAGGCTGATGCTGAGGCAGGCTGAGGCTGAGGCTGAGGCTGATGCAGGCTGAGGCTGAGGCAGGCTGAGGCTGAGGCCGAGGCTGAAGGCAGACTGAGGCTGAGGCTGAAGCAGGCTGAGGCTGAGGCTGAGGCAGGCTGAGGCTGAGGCAGGCTGAGGCTGAGGCTGAGGCAGGCTGAGGCTGAGGCTGTGACTGCGACTGCCGTTGCCGCTGCGACTGTCATCGCGAATGCGACTACGACTGCGAGAACAGCAGAATTCTACAACTGGATTTTCATCTGAATCTTAAGGGGAATGCTTTCAGATATGCTTCTACACATCGCTGTTAGGTTGCTTTGCCGGGATATTTTTTCTTCCCACCGTCGTCACTATCTATTTTATCAGTATAACATCCTTCTCCCTCGTTTTCCGAAGCCCAAGGTGACACGGTGATGTCGACCATCTGCAACGTCACTTTGGGAGCATTGTTTTCCACGCGCGACGCGCAACTAATCCAACCAGCCCTTTAGGGCGTAGGTGGTTTAGGGCGTTTCCTTTTCCACCCCGTTTTTTCCCTTCGGGTCAGAATTATATCATTACTTCATATGATTAAAAACCCCACATCCCCACTTAGCCCGCCGATGGCAGCCCCGCCGTCCGAATTGGCAAAAATCTACACAAACTCCATTTTTTCTCACCAACATGTCGTCGAGTTGCGAAAAATGTAGCACGAACGAGACGGAATGAACATCGCTTGGGTAACCATGGACTTTCTTGTCGTCGACGTCGCGGCCCGTCGGGTGGAGGAGCTGGGCGGGCGGCAAATCTGAATGCCTCAAGCACATGCGGTTCGCTGCCGGCGCGCCCGTTGTCGCGTCCACGTAAGAAAGACCTTTGGCAACAGTGACCTCTGGTGCGCACAAAGCAAGCCAAAATCGACCCCCGGACCCATCCGGCCGCGGCAAAGAGGGCCCCCCCCGAGGTGCTGGAATGAGACGCGGCGCACTTCGCGCGCTGGACATGTTGTCGCCGACGATGCAACATGAGAGGCCGGAGCGAGGCCCGACGTACATCGCGCGCGGTCTTGCTTCTCGTCGACGTTGCTCAATACGCGGCAGGAATAAGACGCAGCTCATGTCGCGCGCTGAACGTCTAGCCGCCCGCGATATAAGATGAGCGACAGGCGTCGGACGCGACGCATTTGTTTTTCTGTTGCGGGAGGGCGGGTGGGAGTGGACGGAGCCCCCCGGCTCGTTCGAGCTGGCTAACTTGACCCCTCCCCTTACCCCCTCCCCTGGACCTGGACTGGGAGTCCCACAAGCGGTCAGGGCGGTCCTAAAAAAGCCTCAGCGAGGAAGCCAAAATCGCTGGTTTTACTAAGGTTTGGGCCCCAGTTTGGCCTCTTGGAGGGGCGGCGCTAATGAAGACCCCCCAAGGTGGCCAGGAGGCCCCACGAGGCCCCCAAAAGGCCCCCAGGATGCCCCCAAGAGGCTGCCAAGAGACCCCCAAGAGGCCCCAAGAGGCCCCCCATAGGCACCCAAGACGCTCCAGGAGACCTCGGCGACAACGCCAAAATCATTCATGCTACTACGGTTTGGTCCACATTTTGGCATTCTTGGGCGGGGGGGCACTGCTTAAGATGGCTCCAAAAGCGCCTGGGAGAGCCCAAGATGACCTCGAAGATGGCTCAAAATGTCCCAAGAAGGCTCCCACGATGTTCCAAGAGGCCCCAAAACCGCTCCAAGACGGCTCCAAGTGGCCGAAGAGTTCCCCCAGGAGGCCTCGAAGAGGCCAAAAGTCTTCCAAAA